ATATATATATATTAACTTCTATTTGTGCATTGCTTAGAAAATAAAAGAGAATTTAAAGCCTCGGTGAATTTTTCAGGTAGATATTTTGAGTTGGAAACAACAGTAGTAATAATCTTTTCACTGGCTTTGCTTCTCGAATAATGTGAGTGTCAACTTTTATTTGTTTTGTTTTTTCATAGAGTACATAAAGTACTAAAAATGTAGATGGATGGATGATCATGACAATTTAAGACCACAGGTTGTGCAGTAATAAAATCAAATTCTTTTAGAAAAAAATTAAACCATATCATTTTACATATAGAGTATACCAAGTTTTTTTATTCTATCTCAATGCTTGACCTTGTGACCATTATTTGTTTCTTATATTTTCATATGACTAAGTTACCCCTTGTAAATTTACAATGCCTATTTGTAAATTTTCTATTATAAACTAATCTAATATAGTCAATGTTAGAAAATATTCCGCATTAAGATGGTCATTTTTAGTTTTATTGGTCTATATTTGAGAATACACAAAATGATTCTCACACTCCAATTAACCCCCTATAATCAATCAGACGTGTAATAGAGGATTTTGATTCAGTAAGTTCCAATTTTCACATACACCCATCCTAACTTATGCTCATCAGGATTATGTTTATAATTAGTCCTATTAAATTATCTTTAAGCAAACTTTTATATTTCAATTTTTCTAATATTCATTAAATATAAATACAGAAGCGTGTCTAAAATAATTCTTAAATAAAATACATAGCTTCTAAGTAATTTCAATTATAAAGCATACGCACCAGAATATTTTTATCCACATTAGATACCATTGTCTTCTATAACCTTCTAAACTTATACAATCAAAAGCTATGTAGATGGACAGGCTACCTAACTAATGATCCATCTTCACTTTTCTCCTCTCTGAGACCTTATAATATTTGATAAGTTCCTCACTCAATGAGATAAGTAATATTAAAATAATATTCAGACATGCAAGAAAGAAATAACATATATATTGGTCGAAGACTAACATGAATAAATTTAACTATAATGCCAATTAGTTTGGTATTATAGCAACAATGAATGACCATGCTTAAATGCTTAAATAGTAAAGAGAACATGCTTATAGACAATAGATGCAACAATTGTCAAAAATAAACAATCGCTATTGACAAGTCTTTCAATTTATTATACTAGACAATCCTATTATATTTGCATAAGCTTTGACACTTCTAATTTTATTTAGTCGTCTCCCAATCTGTCGGCCATAACAACTATTGATAATAGTTGATTAGTCCAACATTGGACTTACTAATGGCCCCTTTATACAAACTTAACAATTCCAACTTTAATATCAATTGTCAATAATTCATTGATTTTCTCATCAAGCCTCATCGAGTCATAATTTGTCTTTTGCTACGTAGGTCATCATTATAGTTGCATATTTATTACAATTTATATGATATTTTTATTAATCATCTTGACTTGTTATACTTATTTTTCTATGCATTTCTTATTTAATGTGAATATATTTGTAAATAATGAACTTTATTTACATGCACAATAAATACAGCGGGACAAATAATAATGAAAATTCATACCTGATATTGTAATTTAATAACAATTTTATGAAACATAAATGAATATGTAAACATTTATACGCTCAATATAGGAGACATTCTAAATACAGATATATAATAAGTAGAATATACTAATGAACAGTAGTAATCTTTAGTCTTATAGATAATTTGTTTCTTAGCAATTGATTGTCTCATCTCAATTATTAGGTCAGCCTCGCCATGAATTTCTTCTCCATTCTCACCTCGAGGTTGTTTCCTTACATAAACGGTCTAAAAATAACATAATTATTAATTTGATGAATTTCTTAAATTATTGTCAATTTTATACGAACAACCTATCAATTGAAAATTTTGCCTCAAAATGGCTTCACCTTATGGAATTTTTTATTGAAAATAGAATGGAATGTGGGGGTTCTTTGCTTAAGGCCTAAATTCCCTTCTCTATCTCTAATTCATTTCTATCTCTAATTCATTTTTAAATCTCTAATTCATTTTTAAATTCTACAACCAAAACCTTGTTGCTGTTATAGATTTGACAAAATTTAATTCACAAAAAAAAAAATATAATAAATGAAGAAAAACAAATAAATTATTTACATTTTAGACAGTTATACTTTATAAGTTTACATTCATACACACACACATACATACATTTAAAAATTTTTTCTTTACCTCAAAACTACTAAATTTTCCCTTACATGTCTCTGCCCCCCCAACCCATAGAGATCTAGCCCCTCTGAAATTTGCCCATTTATGTCTGCGAACGGTGGGCTAGTGACGGAATAGAAAGAGGGCTTGGTTTAATTATATAATTAATATAATATAATACTACTTAATTAAATAATCATAACCATTTAAATGTATCACGCTGTTGCATACCAAATTAAGTAGAGTAGATATAGTGAAGAATTTTTTTGAACAGTAAAATAAAATGAAAGAATTTTAGGGGAAAATTTTATAAAGCTTCATTTACTAATATATATATTCGTATGTATTTGTTTGGCGTGAACATTCAAGAAAATGAAATATGTTAAAAGGTTTATATCATAACAAGTATCAATTGAGATATGAATGAATTAAATTTAATTCATCTATCTCTAATTCATTTTTAAATTCTACAACCAAAACCTTGTTGCTGTTATAGATTTTATGTTAATATTTATGTGAATAATTATTATTTTTTGATGTGAAGAGAATATAATTAATGTTTTAGATATAATAAGCAGTGAATTTTCTATTATGCATTTTTGAGAATTCATATTGCATTTCAGCAATATGTACTTTTCAAAATAAAAATTCAAGTTGAAATATATTGCATATATAATTATATTGAAAAATTAATAATTTACAACTTATTATTTTTTTAATTTGTGCAATTTAATATTTAAATTTGATTTTGTTTTGGGTTTTCATAAAAAATAGATAAATATGAAAAGCAAATGAGAAAAGTTAAGCATTGATGCCAGCTTACCAATACTTTATTTAATGATTTTTTACCAATGATAATGTATAAAATAAAAACTAATGTATTTAATCTTTCATGCAACTAAAGGGTTTTTAAACAATATACCATTAATG